ATGATGATGATTACATTGATAGATGATGATGATTACATCGATAGACGAAGATTTCAATCACATTGACCAACAAGTCCCACAGAACAGTAAATTTGATTACCAACATACTCTAATCACCCTTCATTATTAATCAAGTACTTCATACTGTATCTAATATGATCATTTTGTTTCACAGGAGTGGCGCCATGCACATGGAATGAGATGCCTTGGAATACCCAACACGGCTCACTTTGCTAACGTCACTCTAATCGAGGATGCTGTAGCTCGTATGTACCTTGACTGTTTTGTTTACTTTTGTACTAAAATGGGGAGAAGAAAAAGGGGAAAGAAAAAATGGGRAAAAAATAAGGAAAAACGGGAGAAAAGAATATGGCAAAAGCAAAGGAGTTCGTTCGTGAAATATGAAGATCTGCTTATGTTTATCGTCAGTGCTGCCGCTGTATTGTATTTTGTTACATCTACTGTGAATGTCACGCTAAATACTGTACAACATGTCATTTACAGTCTGGCAGAAGCTCAAGTCTTCCAAGTCCAAGGAGAGGTGGTTAGCTGAACAAGATGTAAGTACTATGTTGATAATGGTGGTGGTGATGATGAAGATGATAAGGGGATAATGAAGATGAGGGTGGAGATGATGATGGTGGTGTTTGTTGTTGGTGATGATGGTGATGATAGCGATGATGATGGTGATGGTAATGATGATGATGATGGTGGTGGTTATGATAAGGGGATAATGATGATGGTGATGATGATAATGCTGGTGGTGATGATGATGATGGTAAGGGGATAATGATGATGGTGATGGTAATGTTGATGATGATGGTGATGATGATGATGGTAAGGGGATGATGGTGCGGATGATAATGCTGGTGATGATGATGAAGATGGTAAGGGGATAATGATGATGAGGGTGGGAATGATGGTGATGATGGTGATGGTGATACTGATGATGATAGTGGTCGTGGGGATGTGTTTTCCATCACTCTCAAATACCTGCTGATCTGTTCTCTGATCTGTTGAGTTGTCTTGACTCAAAATTGCTWTTTCTATTAATTCAATCAAAAATCAGCAAAAATATCTTGTTATAATGTTTCCAAATCTTTGTTTTGAAGGAGGAATGCGAAGACTCTAAGGGAAACGTCGTAAACAAGAAAACATTCGAAGATCTCAGTCGACAAGGTTTACTGTAAACCACTCACCAACCCATGCTCAACCGAACAAAACTATACAAGAAACTAAAACACTTCTTGTCGAAATATTCCTCACCAAGTCTAGAAGCCATTTATTGTATTTATATCTTKACCGACTGGCATTAGTACTCAGTACGTATATCTGTTCACACGAAGGACTTGAGAGGATGGGGAGAGGGAGGAGTATGGAGGTTTTTAGACTCTTCCACAGTCTCTCGCTCGTCCGTTCCGTCTCCACGCTTAGAGACTGTAACGGTACAATGACCGAAAGGACTCATGTGTCCCGAAAACTTGGACCCAGCGTGCTTTGGGAACCAAAATACTCGTCCACATTCTCTCTCGTTTCAATATTTTCAAGATGGCGGCGAAAACGAGAGACTGTGGACGAGTATTTTGGTTCCCAAAGCACGCTGGGTCCAAGTTTTCGGGACACATAAGTCCTTTCGGTCATTGTACCGTCACAGTCTCTAAGCGTGGAGACGGAACGGACGAGCGAGAGACTGGAAGAGTCTATGGAGGTTTTTGGATTAAAAAAATACAGGCTGACCTGGAGGTTGTGTATGCTTTCTTAGGTCTTAGGTATACCTTGGATGATTTAGAACTTGAGTTTCACTGGATGTATTTCCTTGTCTTACTTAGAATCTCATTAGTAACTTCTCCCCTTTTTCGTTTCTTTACCAAGACTCTACGTCCAGATAAATCGACTGCCACGCTCACCAGTCATATATATTGACCAGCGTTTTATTTTACTTGGATATTACTTGGATATGTTTTTAGATGTTTTGTAACGTAACAGAAATGCAATAAAGTCATTACTAGTATCCTTTACTTATATCGATTTATTAGATTTTCTAGTTCAGGATGAAATGGGAAAAAATCATACCCTTTAGTATTATGCCCTCTTTTAGAAACACATCTTATGAGATTTGGATTTGGATTGGCCTGTAAACATGGCCGTCCCCTCCCCGGATAGMCATGTTCACAGGCTATATTTTGATGAGTAAATGAGTCTGTAACCAAGTAACGCTGTGGTATTTTATGAATTTGAGAAAGGTCCTTTAACGTAAAGTAGAAGAGCCTATTGACCTTTTTAGTGATAAAAATTGCATTCCCACGTGTTATTTTCAGTATCTTGCCTGTTCTGCACGCGACCACGAGATGGCTAGGATCATCCAAGAGATCAACTAGAAAACATACCGTAAATTCGTGAAAACGTCAAACAAAAAATTGTACAAATTAGTGCAAAGTTTTGTAGGTCTACGGTCTAATGAACTTACTAATTTGTGCAAATTTGTGGAATTTCTTACAAACAATTTTCACGAATATATTAGTGTAGTCATGCGTAGCAGAATACTATACCAAGTGAGTCACTAGACGTTCTGTACCGACTAAAGACAACTAAACCGTAAGTAAATATATGTTATTTATGACTCACTTAGAGATACAGGACACGAGAGATCCATCCTAGGTGGTTTCTACCGTTGTCTAAGGTATTTGAATCAAATAATAATGATTCATGGCCTTTCAGCACTGGTGTATCATCTCCACAGCTCTGTCGACTCCAAATATCAGAAAAAGAACACTTCTCAAAATCTTGTATTCGTTTATGAAACGGTACATAAAACATAGAAACCCGTTGAGTGTACAGTAAAGAAATGTTAATATCCAAGAAAAGGTTGAGTTACGGTCGTGAAAACGGCCATGGCCACTTCGTGAGTATTGATTGTGAGCAAAACGAACACTGTATAAATTATGCGAGWACAGCTTGTATTATTATCTCTTAACAACTACATGTACAAGCCATTGGGCAATGCCTTGAATGGGAGGCCATGGAACTAAAATCCATCCATTACTCCCTCGATAAACAAGGCTTCCACATGCATACTGTGTCAGCTGATGACTTATGATGAAGCTGTCATCCTTGTGCCCGTTTGTAATGATTAATTCGTATCTTAAATTTGATATGCAAATTTTTCCAATTTGGCAAAATTTTCGCCTTATGAATCCGTGGGCGTTTCGTTCATACCATTTTCGTTTGAATTTTTAAGAAGTAAAATTGCAAAACAAGACCCTTTTTTCTATATTCACGAGATCAGATATCATTTAAATAGAAATTTACAATTCAAGAGTTTTCTGTTTTATATTATTTGTTTTTTTCTTTATTCTTTTTTTAATATTGTCAACTTTGATAACGAGAAGACTATCGCAAACAAAAATTTAGGATAGTAGAGCTTGCGGTTTTTCGTTTTTCTTTTTATGTTAMCGGCAATTTTTAGGTACCATATAAAAAAATCAACGTCTTAATTTAAAAAAGAAATTGACTGTAATGCCTTTTTATGTTTATTTTTCATTGTCTTACAGTCCCCATTTAAAAAGCATGCTTACGAGCATTTCAGGGGGTTGAAGCTAAACTCATAAGGGAAAGTCTAAACGTAGCAGTTGTTTGTTTTTTTTTGTTTTTGTTTTTTGTTGTTTTTTTTTTGAGGGCGGGAAGTTTGCTTGGATGACTCCCTGAAGAAAATGGAGAGCTTTATTGATCCTGCAGAAAAGAAGGATTTTGTTATCAAGTTTAAGTGGTCACACAAGCGCATCACTAAAGAACTGCAAAAATATATCCTGGCGCTCGTGGGCTCAGTGAAACGAGTGTAAGGCGTTAGAGCCGGGACTGCTACTTTTTGACTTTCCGTAATTATGTTAAGCGTAACCCCCCTCCCAACCTACGGCTACGGCTACGCCTCGAGTTTATATATCTTATACAACACGGCCACTCAWACTGTATACATTACGTAAACGAACATAAAAAGGCATTAAARTCCTTTTCTTTTTAAACAAATTAAGACGTCGACTTTTGTACATAGGTACATAAAAGTTACCCACAAAACGGGAAACAGCAAACTCTTGTATCCTAAATTTTTATTTACAATATATCTTATCTCGTTATCAAAGTTGAAAATATTTAAAAAAATAAAGAAAAAAACAAATAATATAAAACAGAAAACTCTTGAATTGTAATTTTCTATTTGAATGATATCTGATCTCGTGAATTTAGGAAAAAGGGTCTTGTTTAATTGCAATTTTACTTCTTAAAAATTCAAACGAAAATGGTATGAACGAAACGCCCACGGATTGTGATCTCTATAGTTTTATCACTGAATTTATAAAAAAACAGGGTCGAACCTCTATGTCTATCATTCATTTATCGTTACTTTCGGGTTCTTTTCGACTTCCGTTTTTCGTTTGTTTCTTGTTTTCTTCTTTCTTTTTTTCGTTCATTCTGTTCGTTCTTTCGTTCTTTTCTTTTTTCTTCCTCTTCTTCTTTTTTTTTTTTTCTTCTCTTTTTCTTTTTCTTTTTCAAGTTTCTATTTTGACCCTTCATCAATTTTTCTTCATTTCCTTTTTTGCACGTAATTTAGAAATATTGCTGAATTAATTTCGATAACAATAAAATACCTGTTATAACCGCAAGCCACTTCAAGTCCCTCATGTATTTTTAACAAGCTCAATTTTCTCCAGGTATGAAACAGAAGTGATAATGGCCATCGTTAGAATTGTTCTCAACGTTATCTCGATATTTCTTCGACTCTTAACAAGGGCTGGTTTCCTATGGGAAATACAACTACAGCTGAAGAAGCTATACTATGGAAAAGAACGTGTCTCTGTGTCGACACCGAAAAATCCCGAATTAATGTTACCAGCAGGAACTGTCGTAGAAAATATACGAACTGGAAAAACAACAGTGGTGAAGGTYATTCTGGCATATGTGGAGAGAATTCACGAAGTGAATCCACTTTTAAATGCTATTTGTAATGATAGGTTTGGAGAAGCTCTCGAAGAAGCAAGAAAAATCGACGAAATTCTTAGTGGTGACTTTAATGAAGAGAGAGAAAATTTATTGAAAAAGCCTCTGTTAGGAATTCCGGTTACTGTAAAGGAATCGATAGCTTGTCGGGGCTTGTCGCATTCTTCGGGGGTAGTCGAACGAAAAGACTTGATCGCCGAAGCTGACTCGGTRGCACTCGATAATCTTCGGAAAGCCGGAGCGATCCCGATTGCAGTTACGAATTGCAGCGAGCTGTGTATGTGGTGGGAAACGATAAATAACGTAAACGGTCGGACGAATAACCCTTATAATACGACCAGGATCGCTGGAGGGAGTTCTGGTGGTGAAGGAGCGATTATTGCCTCGGCGGGATCTGTGTGTGGAATCGGCTCTGACGTTGGTAAGATCTAGAAGTAGAAAAAACGTAGAGGCTTTGCAACATCACGTGATGGCAGCCATGACAGGAAGGCACAACAATAGTCTTTTTCCCCCTGGGAAACTGAATTGCTTCTCATGTAAATCAGATCAGACCAAATTTATTTTTTCCTATTTGCATCACGTGATGGTGACAAAGCCTCTATTGTCCATGCTCGGAAAATCTCAACAATCGTCGGAATGCCAATCACGCTGACGAAAAATTATTTTACCATTCTCAAGCACGTTAGCTATTTTACAGCTGTCATTTCGTTTGATAAGTTATTGTATTCAATTACCACGATAGACGCCATGATGGTTTCATATCCGGTAATGAAAATTAGCCATGCGGTCATCCAGGTTCAACCAATGGAACTGAAGAGACCATTTTTAAATATCAGCTTGTCCTAGTCATTCAGTAATTCTTATGTCAATACTGCAGATTCAATTTCTCTTTGCTCAGACTTAGTCTCGGTTGTGTGTTGTGTGTTGTTGTGTGGCATTTTAATCAACTCGTACTGTTCCGTAGTACGTACATTTCTTACTATACAATGGACCTTAATAAAAGAAAAGAACACATTTGTACAATTAAATCGAGGCTAAGACTGAGCAAAGGCGAACTCGAAATGTGAGTATCRTTACTTCAAACTATCCAAAATATCTGTATGCATAGTTTTGGAATCTCTTTGTTTGTCCCTGACTGTCCCTGATAATCGAGTAAGGGCAAAATGTAACGTTTATTTTTCCAAAATGCCTAAAGCAGTCCAAATTTGATATAACATCAGAAAAAAGGTTAGCTTATCATTCTTGGAAAGTATTAAATTTATCTCAATAAGGAAACCTGATTTGAAGTTGTTTGCCCCTCAGTGGCCACGTGATCGGCTAATCTGCATTACAATGCGAAAACCACCATGGCGTCTATAGTGAATAGAACCTATTCAGAGCCTGTACTTTTTTCGGTATGCGCAGACCAAGAATTGCATAGCTTCAGTCCCCCTATGTTAGTTCCGTCACGCAACGCCATGTGTTACGAAAGA